GTGAAGAGGGCAGGATTTGGGGAGGCAAAAACTGCTGTATTCAGTGTATAAGACGCACCAAGGTTTTGAAGAGGCAAATTTTTTTTAAAAAGTTTTTGCACTCTGCAAACGTTCCAAAAACGGCCTGTTTTTTTGTGAAAACGGGCCTTTTTTTTTTTTTAAAAAAAAGAGTATGTATAACCTTTAGGAGGCTTGCAGAGTGCTCCTGGGGATTGGGGGGGGGGCAAAATTGAGGGAAAAAAGGCCCATTTTTTTCCAAAAACAGACCCATTTTTGACAAAAAAAAGGGCATGGATAGCCTTTAGGAGGCTTGTAGAGTGCTCCTGGGAACTGGGGGGGGGGGCGAAAGTGAGCAACAAACAGCCCATTGTTTGCTCATTTCTGCCCTCCCTAGCCCCCAGGAGGTCTCTGAAAGCCTCCATAAGGCTCTGCATGGCCATTTTGGTGAAGAGGGCAGGATTTGGGGAGGCAAAAACTGCTGTATTCAGTGTATAAGACGCACCCAGATTTTCTGCCTCTTTTTTGAGGAAAAAAAGGTGCATCTTATACTCTGAAAAGTATGGTAATTCATACACTTCTCTTTTCAAAAAAATGTTTTCCATTTATATCATATTCAATGTGCAGTGCCCAGGTTAAAAATCAGCAAAGATGGAATTGTTTTGATTTCAAAAGAAATGTTTGGGGAACCGTTTGGGCAAAATTCTTAAATGTTTCTATTAGACTCCTGATTGATCCCTGGTGTTTTTGTTTGCTTTTAAAGTGATGAGGAGAGTGAAATATGAGCAACCGCTGGCCATTTTCTCCGGAAAGTGAACAGACGCAAAGTTTTCACGTTGGACTATTGATGGTGACAGATTCACATATATGAAGACAAAGGTTGTGGAAAAATAACCAGTCATCGGAGAGTTGCTTTTATTGGATGGGGATCATCCTTCACACTAGCAATTTCTTTCCCACACCGCAATTAAAAGCGGAGATTGAATGTCAGTGGGCTGACAGTTGTAAATGTCACACAGTTCAATAAAACCTACTCCGAGGTGGCTTGATCTAGGGCTGTAGATAAGCTGACCTTAATAAACTGGTTTTTAAACTATGTAGAATTTCTATTTGGAAGGTCTGTGTGTAAAAAGAGGCCCGACTGACTCAAACTAGGTAGACACACGGCAAACAACTGGATTCATTGTTCCTAGTTTTTATTGGGGCTTCCTTACAGGGCGTGGGAAACCATGGCCATGGTGGCTCAGGAATTCTGGGAGTTGAAGTCCACAAGTCATATTTTCCAAGCAGGTGCACTTCATACCCTGCAGTGGCCTACCCTCAGCCCACCAGTTGGCCAAACTGTTTCTGAAGCACATCTACTGCCTGCATGGAGTACCATGAAGCATTACCCCAGACAGAGGGGTCCAATTCATGGCTAAGTTCTGGAGGGAATTCCTGCAATCCATTGGGTCATCCCAGTGCCTTAGCTCAGCCTGTCATCCAAGCACCGATGGGGGGGAAGAGAGACTGAAAGTTATGGTAGAGCAGTACCTCGGGTGCTACATGAACTATCAGCAGTCCAATTGGGTGGACCTCCTGCCTTTCGCTGAGGTAGTGTATAATAATGCTGTTCACAGTAGCACAGAACTAACTCCATTGAAAGTACCGTGTTTCCCTGAAAATAAGACAGGGTTTTATTTTCTTTTGAGCCCCAAAATAAGCACTTTGCCTTATTTTCAGGGAGGACTTATTATTTTTGAGGTGCAGGAGGCGGCGAGCGTGGTCACCTCATGGCTGCTGCTGTGTTGCAATATTTTCAGGGAGGGCTTATTTTNCCCCCCCCAAGTGCAGGAGCCTGACTAGGCCACACCCACCATGGCCACACCCACCCAACACCGGGCAGAGAACCTGTTGCTGAAATTTTTGAAGCCCATCCCTGATGGTGCTTTGGGAGTGATACACCCTGAGAATAGATAGCAAGGTGAAGAGTCTATCCAATAGGCACAGAGTTGGGTCAGTACTGTTAGGGCACAACCTTCTCTGTCGGTGACAGAGATGGAGCAGGGATGAACTAATGATGGTGTGGGCAGAGCAGCTTGAATCATGTGGCAGCTGCATATCCCTCTGATCTGCTCTTGGTGTCAAAGTCTTTCAAGGGAGGATTTCGAGTCACAGGTCTTATCTGGCTTGGAGACCTGACAGGCCGATATCAGCGTCGGAGAGTCATGAACCAATTAAGCAAACTAATCGTTTCCTGCAAACTCCACTCCCCTTTCGCTCTTTTATTTCCTCTGGGAGGTGCCATTCACCATCCACCTGTGGCCGTACTTCCAAGTCAATCTGTTCTTTAGCTGTTCCCTTCATCTGGTAACTCTGTGCATACACACACTGGGAACAGGCTCCAGCTATTTGTCTGCCTCACTGATGTCTGACTCTGAAGACAGCTGATAACTGGCATACAGCTCTGGCCCCTCTCTGCCTCCGACACAGAGCCCTCATCAGAGCCTTTCACAGACTCCAGGACTGGCCCATGTTCCTCCCCAACCTCCTCACTGTCTGAATCCACTGGCCACTGGCGGGCCACAACAATTTAATGAAAGGCCAGCCTTAGCAAGAACCCCCTGACTCTGCACTTAAGTAATTTAAAAGACACTAAAATATATTAGAAAGGAACACTGGTTGATTGCAGACAAAAGCTGGCAAAAGGAATGATCTGAGATGACTTCAATCAGATTTTAATCTTTCCCTAAGTCTGTTCCAAGCTAAAGAAAGGAGCTGTAGCCAGGAAAGCACATGCTTAAATTGATATGAGTTTAATGTCACTTCTGGAAAAGATGCTAATAGTTCAACATTTTCCATCCCTCCTGCTTGGTTAGAGACCTTGGTGATGTCTTGGGTAGTCCTTTCCCAATGTAAATTGTGGACAGCCTCTCTTTCACATCAACCAAGAGTTTTGTTGTTGTTGAAATCAACACTATAATTGATTTAGACCAATGTTTCCCAGGCTTAGCCATTTTGAAGATATGTGGACTTCGATTCTCAGTATATCCCAGCCAGCATTGGAATGCTGGCTGGGGTATTCTGGGAGTTGAAGTCCACATGTCTTAAAAATGGCTAAGCATGGGAACACCGATAAAGGCACCATACCACATCGTTCTCCTGGCCCTTACTCATATTTCCTGCCTGGATCCAGTTAAGATTATTAGCGATGAACTTGCAGTTCATTCCTTAATAACCATATACAGAACTTTAGTATGCTCTAAGGTCAATCTGCTGCTATGAAAAAAAAAAAACTATATTCCCAGAAGAGTTATCAAAGGGCTAGATTTAAGCGATGATTTTTGCCATGCTGGGTGGGAATACGGCAATCATTTCCGTGACTTCCTTTGGGTGACATGCTAAGATCTTCGTGTGAACTAGATCCTTTGTGCATGCGTGTGCATCAGTGGTGGGATTCAAATAATTTAACAACCGGTTCTCTGCCTTGATGACCAGCTGGCTAGGCGAGGATCAGTGGTCATGTGAATGGGTGGGCGTGGCCAACTCAACGTCACTCAGGTTGATGGGCGCTTCGCCTTAGCTGTTAAAATGTAACAAGGGTTAACCGGAGAGGCAGTTTCTGTAAGCAGGGTAATAAAGATTAGGCTAGAAACAATACCAGAATGTTTCCTTCCTGCATTCTATACAGGATTAGCTCTGTAAAGTGTGTGTGTGGAGGGGGGAAACAAAATGAGATTTCTTCCAACAACCGGTTCTCCGAACTGCTTAGAAAGTTAAGAACCGGTTCTCCCGAATAGGTGCGAACTGGCTGAATCCCACCACTGGTGTGCATATATGTGTAAGAGACAGTGTCTTGGCTCCCTGCCCGTTTCTGGTGGGCCTCTCACTAGACAGACTTCCTCCTCTTTCCGAACATGTTATTGATCAGTTTGGCCATGGATTTTGAGCCACTGGGCCGTCTCTTCTCCTTCCCCTTGGGATGAGCCATGAGGCTTTTCAAAGCTTGGCTGAACATCGTTCCTACTTCTTGGCATTGTTCTGCAGCGGATAGTTCACAAAACTGGCATCTGTAATCCAGGGCCAAATGCTGTCCTTCATCCCAAGTGACTTCTCGTACGTGGCACAAATCTTGCTTGTTCCCAACCAAAACCACGGTGCACTCTGGTGTTCTGGACAAAGCAAGTTGAGAAAAAGAAACATGATAAACAAAGATCTTTCTTCTGCTTAGATCATTTACTTCTGTTAAGTGTTTTTAAAACGTTAGATCACTTCCTTATGGAACTTGTACAAGAGGCAATGCATTTTTATTTACCATATTTTTTTTCTGAGTATAAGACTCACTGGAGTATAAGACACACCAAGGTTTTGAAGAGGCAAATTAAAAAAAAAAAGTTTTTGTACTCTGCAAACCCCAAAAAGCAGCCTGTTTTTTGTGAAAATTGGCCCTTCCCCCCCAAAAA